CCGTAGTGACTCTTTCTTGCAGCAGTGTTTTAAAAAGTGAAATCAGAGTGTGCTTGTGCTTTTGTGTAGCAAGCATCCCACCCCTTCTGAGAACAGATAGTGCAAGACATGCTCAGCCACCCTGCAGATCACCCGCAATACTCCTTCTCAAAGTCCACTGCTCATTTTTTGGTTCTAAAGAATGCTGAGTACTTGAATTGACATTTTAAAACATGAAACCTTCCAAAATCCATGACCATACCTTTCCCCATTTATTTAAGGAATCAGGTTTTATGTGGTCTCAGTCAGTAATGTTTTGACTGAGGTTTTCCATGGTTTTGTACATGGAGGTCCGTCTCATCCCTTGTTAAGCCATTTCTTGAGCATTTGATGTTTTCAATACTGTTTCAATGGAAACTTTACAAAACTTTTTCTAAGTTTTTTTGTCACTGATACATATAAATATAATTGATTTCTGAACACCTTAACTCATCGACCTTGCTGACTTCACTTTTCAAACTTTAGAATTTTTCTATAGATCCCTTTGGATTCTCTACACACAAAACATGTTTTATCTGTGAGCAATGAGAATGTCATCTAATCTCATCCAGGCCTGTGTCTCGTTTTTCCTTTCCCAGTCCCACAGCTTGGCCAAGACCTCCAGCACCACGATTTATATTATAGAACCGGTCGTAAAGGGCCTTTTTGTCTCCTTCCTGAGCTTAAAGGCAAAGCTTTTGCCATTCACATTCAGTAAGTTTTGGTCCAGGGAATTCTGTGGACCTTTATCAGATTAAGGAAGTTGCCTTCTGTGCTAATAGATTTTTAAAATAGTAAACGAATGTTGAATCTTATCAAATACCTTTTCAGCTACTCCTGAAATTGATGAGATGATTTTCTTCTTCATTCCGTTCATATGGTGAAAAGGCTAATTGCTCTTCAGATATTAAGCTAAATTTCGTTTCCAGAATGCATCCAAGCTCTCACGATGGTTGCCTCTTTATGTCTTGCTGGATTCAGCCTGCTTGTATTTCATCTGGGGCCTCTGCGCACGTGTCCATGGGAGGGATCGTCAGCAACAGTCCTCTCCCATGTTGTCCTTGCCGGGTTTTGAGATCGAGGCTACGAGGCTACGGTTGTTCCTCTCCAGCTGCTCCTTTGTTCTTTTCTCTGAAGAGTTTTGTAGGAAATTTGCATGATTTCCTTCTTAAGTGATTGGTAAAATTCCGTGGTGATGCCTGCTGGGCCTGGAAGTCTTTGTTGAAAGGTTATAAAAACAGATTCACACTTAATGGACCTTTTTTTCTTCTTTTGACTGACTGAGCACATTTTATTTTTCTACTTTTTCAGTTTCGAAGTCATTTGCCATATTCCTTTTCTCTTATTGGTGACCTAGCAGTGACATCGTCATGACCTCCCCAGTGTTAGGGGAACCTTTGGCCTCCTCCAGGCCACACAGACATCGCCCTGTGTCCACTACTGGTACCTTCTGTGCCGCTAGCATTTGTAGCTCTTGTCACTTTCTACATCTCCAGGAGGGTGCCAGATAAAACACAGGACGCCCAGTAAATTTGAATTTCAGATAGACAATGAATAGATTTTTAGAATCAGTATGTCCTATATTGCAAATTACCTGGGATGTGCTTATACTTTAAAAGAGAGAGAGCAAGAAGCATTCTTTTTATCTGAAACAGATTTAACCGGTGTCCTGTATTTTTATGTGCTAAGTCTGGCCACCCTGCCCCCCAAGCTTCTATCTGAGACTGTTTCCTGTTGGCTGGAATAGCTGCCTTAGAATGCATTCGACCAGGCCAGCCGGTGGACGACTGTCACTGTTCTGAGCATCACTGGTCAGAGGCGCCGGCCCCCTAGAAGGAGCGTAGGGGCCAGGAAGGGACTAGAAGACCATGGCTGGACTCGCCCAGTTTGTCCTGAGGAGTTTGGCCTGGCTGCCCACAGCCCATCCCAGCTCTGCTGTGAGGAGCAATAGGGCCAGCCCTCTCTGGACTCTGCCCAGAGCCAGCTGGTGTGGACATCTGCTAGGTGGCCAGTGGGCAGTGACCCTGTGTCTGCCTCTGGACAGGACAAGGACCGCCACCCACCATGGTGAAGCTGGGCTGCAGCTTCTCTGGGAAGATGGGCAAAGACCCTGGGGGCCAGGATGGGGCTGCCGCTGACAGCGCCCCTCTGATCAGCCCCCTGGATGTCAGCCAGCTGCAGCCACCATTCTCTGACCAGGTGAGCAGCCTTTCTCAGCCTGCCCTGGGAACAAAAGTGTATGGGGGTGAGGTTTATTTCGATGCGGCCTCCTGGCAGGCAGGGGAAGGGCCACCTTCCTACACTCTCCGTGGTCTGGCCAGACCTCAAGGCTGCAGTGGACCCACCAGACTTGCAACGTCCACCTTCCTGTGGCCTCAGCTTGTAGCCACTGGAGCCCAGGACCTAGACAGTCCTGGCAGAGGGTCAGCACCCACACCACTGCTGGGGCCTCTCCCCTTCCAGCCCTCCCAGCTCACGGTCCTCAAGGATCATCTCTTTGAACAGGTGGTCATCAAAACACAGACGGAATACGAGCTGTCCTCCATGGACCAGCCAAAGAAGTTCTCAGACCTGGAGGCCCAGAAGCTGGCCTGTGGCCACCCAGAGGAAGGACGCAGGGTAACCCAATCTTCCTGGTTCCGTGCTGCTGGAGGTCAATCCCCCCCGGGAGTCAGAGAAGCTAGACTGGGGAGGTCGCCATTCAGAGGCAGGGAGGGTGCCTGAGGGGGAGGGTGGCTGCGGGACTTGGGGCCGTGAGCACCAGGCTGACCCCTAGCTGGCTGAGCCCGCAGCCTCCCTGCTGTACAGCGGGGTGGCAGCTACAGTGGGCAGAGCCTACTTTTGCAGTGAGCCTGTCTTCCCAGCAGGTCATTTGTCCCTCCCTGAGTGACTCGTGGGTTTTCTATGTACTCTGAAAAGTCACTTTTCCTGCTGTATACTCTGGCAAATATTTTCTCCCATCTTTTTTTAGCTCTTAACTTTACTAATGATAGCTTTTCTCATATTCGGGCACTATTTCTAAAGCCTTTCATTTTTTAGTAGTAAAATCTGCCCCTTTCCCCTATTTCTGAGAGGGAAGCGCTCCCGCCTCTCCCCCTCTCCTCCCCACGCAGAAGCCAGCGGGGTTGGAGGGGCGCTGGGTCGGGTGCGCAGCCCCGCCCCTGAGGGCGTGCCCCAGGAGCCCGGGCTGGGCTCAGTGCCCCCCACACACTGGGTTTTTCTCCTTTCCGCCCGCCCCGCAGCTGCCCACAGCACGCATGATCGCTTTCGCCATGGCGCTCATGGGCTGCGTCCTGATCATGTACAAGGCCATCTGGTACGACCAGTTCACCTGCCCCGACGGCTTTCTGCTGCGGGTAAGGCTGGGCTCCAGGGCTGGAGTGCCAGGAAGGGGCCCAAGGGANTCAGTCACACGCACACCGGACGCGCGCTGGACGCTCGTGCGGGTAAGCACTGGGGCGCACCTCTCCTGACGCAGCATCTGGGGGGGGGGTGCGAAAGCGAGTGACGTGACCTGCAGCAGAGCTTCGTGGTCTTTCAGCTAAGAGTCCGTGCCCCCCCACCCCCATCCATCCATCCACCCACCCACCCGTGCGTCCATCGTCACTCATCCTGTGCCCCTCCCCAGGCCTGGGAGAGGAGTCTGCACCGTGGCTCCCCCGACCCGCTCCGCCACAGAAGCCCACAGCGGGTGTGGAGCAGCTGACGCGCTGAAGAAGACAAAATTACAGCGCAGGGTGGTGGGAGAGGTCCTGGGGGGGGGGAGTTGGACCGACCCCCTTCCCCATTCCACCAACCTCTGTGTCTGTCATGTGAATGAGCCCAACGGGTCCCCATGACTCAGCGAAGGAAAGGCATATGGGGGGGGTCTCCACATGAAGCCCAGGTCCTCCCCCAGCATTCTGCCCTGGGCACGGGGTCTGGAACCAGATGCGGAGGGTCCAGAGGGCCCCAAATAGCTCTTCTTCGTGAAGATGTGTCATCTCGGGCCTATCTCCGTTGCCATGGAAACCCACGATGATGTAACATGGACGTCACGCTGTGTCAGAGGAGTTGGAGCGTACGTTTCGCTCAAAGGGGGCGGACCCCAGAGGCGGCGCTCCTTTAGGGAGGGGGTGTGGGGAGACGCCTGCCCTCCGCCTTCCAGCGGGCGTGCAGCGGTGGGGGCTGCGCCCCCTCTTTCCCCTCTGTGCGCCCTTCTGTAAACCACACGCCGGGTTTTTGAGCCCCCCGGTTTTTGAGCTTTCTGCTGGGTAGCGCACCCCTCCTACACCCCCACCAATCTCTCCTCAAGCCTTGGGCACTTGCTGCCCCCACCTCCCGCCGCCCCCGCTCCGCTTTGAGCTCTATCGTCTTCCTTGCGCTGGATCAGCTGACCTCTTGATATTTATAGTCTGGTGGCTCCTTGACCACTTCTGGTTCACGGAGTGCGGACGTCGTCTGAACGGCTGGGCCAGGTGCCGAGGTGCCCGCACTCCGCCCCCCCCC